TGTCTTGGCCCCCAAATTCACCTGACCTTAATCCAATAGAGCATTTGTGGTCCTACTTGGAAAACCAAATTCGTGCTGCCACGCTACCCCCTCGCAATGTGAGGGAATTGCAGGACCAGTTGGTGAGAGCTTGGTACCAGATACCTCAGACTACCTATCGGCACCTTGTGGAATCAATGCCGCGGCGGGTGCTATAGCAGTTTTGAGGACTAAAGGTGGTCTTACATGTTATTAGCAGGGTGGTCATAATGTAATGGCTCTTCGGTGTATATTACAGCTGGATATAGTGTTACTGTTTAATACAGCTAGTAGGATTACTGCTATATATAATGTTACTGTTTGATACAGCTAGTAAATAAATGGAGAAAAACATTCAAGAGAAAAACGATTTTATACATTAGAGTATTGCATGAATCAGTTCAAATGTTATAGTGAATTGAATGAGTAGTAAATCTTTCAATAACTGAATATGTAAATCTACGAATCAGTGAATCTGTGACTTAATGAACATGGATACTGGCTACATCAGTGAATCAATGCACGAGAGTCTTAGTGATATGTCGTTAATCTATCAATCAGTAAATCAATAAATAAAAACTTTTATTATAAACTTATAATCTCATGATGTGCTTCATAATTTTTTCTGTGCTTCGTTAGGATTATTTTCTATCATCAGATTACATGTCTGAACGCAAAACTAATTTAAAAATATTGTTTATTAACATGGCTAATATTATAATTCCTTAAATATTTAGGTTACACTCACCATCAAGGTTGCTCCATGACAATCAAAGAAGACGATATGCAAGTGAACTGCATCGTTCTGGATTCAGTTAATAACAGAAGAGTGTGCTCAAATAGTCTGAGATCATCGTTCGAATACCTGAGGAACACAAGAAGTAAAAAATCCATTTAGTTTAAAACATTAAAATTTTCTGTACTATGCATTGATTTCATTTAACGGAAATTGTTCGTAAATAAACATTTCATGCATTCTTTTTCATGAAAATTTTAAAAGTTAACTTCAAAATGTATACATTTCATATAAATACGATTACCAAAAAGTATCCCAGCAACAGCTCGTTGTGGGCCAGAGGGGTCATGGAGGTTCTTCCTCTTCATCCACACTACAACTTAGTGTTAGTCAAGGCTTTTTCAGTCTACTTCCTCTTGGTAGAACGATTTACTACAAGATTTCTTCACCTGTTCACTCCCAACAATCTCAAATCCATCTCTGCGCTGTGTAGCCACCTCGAAGTTACTCAACACCTGCTAGAAGAGAGAAGGCCTCAGCACGGATCAATTTAGTAGTTCGACGCAACTAACATAAACTGTGCAGTGGAGGAAAAATAAGAAAGATATCACGACTTACAGGCTACTAAGCTGCGCAATGGGGAAAAATGCGAAAAAAGTTATTACGTTTGGACTACTATAGTTTGTCTAAGTTAATAACTCCTCCGGTCACAAAGTCTGAGGCCATCTGGTGCTCTGGAAACAAGAATGACGCATTTTAGGGAGGGTAGCTTCATTCTATGACTAATACAATAGACCCAAGAAAGAGATCCCCCTTTTCTCTCCGACCCGAGTCAAAAAAACTCCAAAACAATAACCTCGCACCCTTACTAGAAATAGTCAAACCTCGTTGCCATAGTCACCTCCACAGGTCCAGACGAATGTCTGGGGGAGTTCTTATTTTGGACAAACTATAAAGCAGGGGTTTCCAACTTACATGAAACCGGGGGCCGCAATTGAAAACACCAGTCAAATGGCGGGCCGCAACTTTACCAAAATTTTATATAGGACTCTTTTATGCTTAAAGAAACATTAAATATTACTGTCATATTTTTATCAAGTTGTACAAAACGAAAGTATTAAATTACAAATTAGAATAAGAAGTAGATTTTCATCTGAGAAAAAAAAATTTTTGCATCGTTGGTATGTTAAATTTCACAAAAACAAAGAAATTCGCTTTTTTTTTTTTTTTTTTTTTTTTTTTTTTTTTTTTTTTTAAACAACGAAAGAATAGCATTTTAAACCCATACAGGTTTTTTTACGAAAATTGGCTGCAAAAAAATGACAACTACTATATTTTAGTTCACGGGTCACAAAAAAAAAGCTTCGTGGACCGGATGTGACCCGCTCGCCGCCAGTTGGTAACCACTGCTATAAAGGATCAAATTTCTTGTTTATGGTAACCAGTGCTGAGGCCTTCTCTCTTCTAGGAGGTATTAAGCTTATCCGCCTCTTCTTCTTGTAACCTCACTCTTTGAGAATGTCAATTGTTTGGTTGGATCTTAGAGTCCAATAATGTGTCACAGTCCTGCTTACTTCATGACTCTTGAGATGCTAGGTTGTCTATCATGTATTTCATGATTATATAAACTTTTACAAACATTATTTTATTAAACGGCACCAAAAATTGACCGAAGTATCCTCCTTTCAAAAATCAGCAATCTATTTTCCTCAAATTTACTGATTGCCCAAAAGTCATGGAGGTTAAGATTCTACAATTTCGTATCAAGCATCACTGACTGCAGTCAGTGTGTAGGTGGGTCACTACTTGAATCAGTCTGTGAAGGATCCGAGAGTGTACGGTATTGGTCGTCGTTAAACTGTTCTACCGTAAAGTGCACGAATTCGCTTGCAGGTCGTCGGGCTTCCGAAGCAAGGGTGCCACCCCCTTTGACGAGGATCAAAATTGTGATGGCACGTCTTCGGATCATCCTCAGGGGTGCTTCCCAGACCGTTGCCAATAGCCCATTGTGCAGCTCTAGTGTGACATAAATGAACTACAACAACAAGAGAAATAGCTTAATTTTAAATTATTTTCTTTACTTCAAGCCAAAATTTTAAATTTCATATGTGTTACAAAATATTACATTAAAACACTTAGTGTGATTCATGATAAATTTATATTATAAATTAAGATAATTTTATTGTAAAGTTATGTAAAACAATAGTTTAAGTAGCAAAATTTAACCTTTGATGGACGAAATACACTTAATTGTCACTTTAACAGTTTTAACTAGATAAACTGAAACAGAAAATACATTTTGACCGTTAAGATTTAGCCGTTAAGGCTAGTTTTAACACCCATAAAAATAAAAAAAATTAATACCTTAGAATGCTTTAGTTTATTTGTATAATTTGTTTGATATTCATCTAAATATGAATCGTTATTTGCTTATTTACCTTAACGATTGCAATGAATCGAAGGAATAAATCACTGACTTAATTGGGGGGAAAAAGAATATTCGTATTTTACAATATATAAGAATCTAATCATGGTGCGGTAGTTTTCTATTGTCGGTGCATTTTTATTGGCTGAAAAATCACATTGTAGGATCCAGTTTTCCCACACTAATTTTCCTATTGGTTTGTTTGTCATCAGCATAAAATTGATATAACGAAGGTATTGTTTTCCTATAACTATTTTTGCTGCCCTAATTCGTGCAAATCTACACCCTACTAATCCGTACTGTAATTATTACGTTTTTGATTTTTTTTCTCTCTGAATTAAGAGTATAAGAAATTAAGAATGACTAAATTAAGAGTTGTTTTTATTAGTATTATTGTTAGAATAACGTAATTACATTTTAAGATAAAGTTATTTAAAGTGTCTCATTAACCGTTTTACATTCTTTGGTGCGAATCACATTAATACACTCTTATAAATTGCGGTTAAAAATATTCGTTAAATGATTTAGAACCTAACTTTCAACTTCATGCACAAAGTAATGAATGCAAATACATCCGTGTACATGGTGTTTTAAATCATACATCCGTTCGTTTGGTGAGCAAAAATATAAAATTACAGCTATAAACTTACCGAATTTGTTACAATAATATACTTTTAATTTTAAATGTTATTTCAAAAAACGATTATTTAAAAAAATTATTTATGTTTACTGATAGATCTTAAGTATCATAAGGGAGGTAAATATTTAGGCATGGTAAGTGTTCTTTTCAGTACATACATTTTTAGTTGAATAACTTCAATTGTTTTATGCCAAGAAATAGCAATTTATTGCGAATCAATCATCGGGGTTGGTAAGCATCAGCGAACAGGGGATTTAGCCCCCAAGTTATAAATATTTGTGAGAAAAAATCTCTTTTTTATGTTTTGTGCAAGGTGTTTAAAAAAATATTTGTATATTAATTATTTTCTGTGAGAGAAAATCACTTTTATAAAAAATATCAATGGTTTCATTTTTAAAAAAAATATTTGTATTATACAGTAAAACCTCATTACAGCAATATTTTGGGGACCAGAGAGGGTCAGCAATATTTTGGAGACACATTAAGATTTTTTTTTTTAATCTTAATGTTATATATGTATTAACTATAAATGTTTTTATTAATTTGCTAACTAACTCCCTGGCATTACAGCCCATGTTGGACCATGGCCTCCCTAACAATTTTCCTCCAAAGTCGCCTGTCTCTATCTCTTTGTTTCCAGTTTCGGACTTAGAGTCTTAAGGTCTTTTTCCTCCTCGTCAAACCATCTTTTGACCGGCCTTCCTCTTATCCTTTGGCCCTGACACTGCCCCTTGAATATCTTCTTAATGCCTCTGCTTTCCTCCATTCTCTCAAGGTGTCCTAGTCATTGAATTCTCTTTGCTTTCACATAATTGATTATATCTTTATCTTTAAATAGTCTTGCAATTTCAAAATTGTATAGCCTTCTCCACAGATCACCCTCTTTGACAGGTCCAAAAATAGTTCTAAGAATTTTTCTTTCCCAGGTAATCAGCATTTTTTCTTGTTTCTGGATTAGAGTCCATGTCTCTGATCCATAGATAACGGTTGGTCTGATTATAGTTTTATAAACCTGAAGCTTTGCTTTTCTCGTTATTACTTTTGATATTAGCAATCTCTTAAAGTGCAAAATAGCTGCGATTTCCAGCATTTAGTCTTTGCTTAATCTCTGGCATTATATCATTGCAGATTAATTTGTTATTTGTTTATTAATTTGCAGATAGGTTAATTATGGTTAAGTATTAAAAACAATTAAAATAAAATAAGATCGCAAACATACCTGAAGACCGTTTTTATTGAAAATAATCCGATATTTTTGTTGGTTGACTTAATAATCAGAAGAATGAATATACAAACAAAGTATGCATTGAGTTCAAAGTACGAAAATTGATTTTCGTCTGTGAATTGTGCTCCACCCGCCCTCTGCGGAAAAAATTCTTTTTCAGGTGTTAATGTGGTGCTTGTGGTCATTTGTGACTCATCATCAACTTTTAACATGAAGGAAATGAAATCAGATAGGAGATGCTGTGACTTCTTGAGGGAGGCAGTTCTAAGAATGGAAGCTTTTAGGGTGGTCAGCGGTGAAATGGCAAAAGATGATAAAATAAGATTTTTTACATTATTTGGAAGTCAATAATAAATGGAAAAAATATGGTTGAAATTGGAAAAAAATCGTTTTACAGGGGTTTATTGCTTTAGCGAATATCGTAATATTGAGAGGAGAATAACATTAATTCATATGGAAGTTCGTTGGAACCACGAAACATTGTTGTAATAGAGGGAGTCATTGTTGTATCGGATATCACAGTAGCGAGAGCTCACTGTATATATTTTTGTGGAAAAAATCATTTTTGAAGAATATGCATCGTTTTTTTTTTTTTTAAATATGTATTCGTTATAAGTATAGTCTGTGAAAAAGATCTTTTTTACAGGATCTGGCTTCTACAGTAATCACCAAGTTTTGGATGTCTCACGTGACGTGTCTTCCTGCTTAGTGGTCATAGTTTGTGGCTGTATTCTACTCCTTATGAATGGCCTCATTCTCAAGTATGCGGATGCTATTTTGGCCATAGCATCTGTTACTGTATTATATGGTTCTACCTATCCTTTCAGTAAGTATTTGAACGATTCTTAATTCCTAGATGTCCGATAACGGACAAAATAGAGTTAACCGTTAACCGACATTATAGAAAACACGTAAATGTATGCCTCTATATTCTTTGCCTCAGTCCTGTTCAAAATATTAAAAAAAAACTTTTTCCTACGTCTAAATAGGGATTCTTCCTCACGCAGAAATAAGCAGAACTCGTTGCATAATTAGAATCGGTTGACTAAGAAAAGTGAGAAAAGCATTTTGTTTCATAACCGTCGTTGAACAATTGACCCAATTTTTGGGTTTGCGACACTAATGTTCCACTCAGTAGCCTTTTAATATTAAGACCAATGCAGAAGACGAGGGAACTCCTGGATCAAGTATTGGGAGAAATTTTCTTTCGTGGAGTACTTTTTGATGCAACTAACCCGCATCGTATTACATGGTGAGGAAAAACTCGAAACCCTGCCACGGTTAGCCTGACAAATTGGGACTCTAACTCATGATCCATCTACCACTGAGGGTATCTTACGTCAGCACTGTGGTTGGTGTGAGACGGGTGCGGAATTCGTATCGACCAGCCTTAGCTGGGATTTGAACCTGGTTCACCTCATTCGAAGGCGAGCGCTCTATCCCTTGAGCCATCAAGGCTCAAACTAGAGAATTTTGCATTTTATTTTATAAATCAGTCGTTGAACAGTCGACCCAATTTTTCAGTTTACGACTATAATGTTCAAATCCGTAGCCTTGTAATTTTGAACCCAAATCAGAAGACAAGAGAACTCCTGGATCAAGGATTGGGAAAAATTTTCTTTTGTGAAGGATTTTTTGATAGAACTAACCAGGGTTTGCGTGACATGTAGAAGAAAACCACGAGAACCTTCCATGGTGTGCCTGGCGGCAAAGGATCTCTAACCCATGATCCGTGTACCACTGAGGATATTTCACGTCAGCACTGTGGTCGGTGCAAGTCGGATGCGGAATTCGAATCGACTAGTCATTACCGGAATTCCAACCTGGTTCACCTCATTGGAAGGCGAACACCCTATCCCCTGAGCCATCACTACTCAAATTTTGTATTTGAAGCTGTTGTGTGTCTACTGAAACATAAATTAAGAATACGACTCTTTTAAAATTCGATTTCTCAGGAGCTATTCAACCGATTTCACACAAATTTTGTTCGTTGCAATTAAAAATTAAGTTCAAAATTAAGTTGTATACCCTTCTGTTCCAAACTTTTTCGACTATTATTGAATAAAATAATAAAAAATAATGAATATTTTTCAAAAGTCATTTTTTGCAGGGATTGGATAATTAGCATATAATTATTATTTTTGGATAAACCAATTATGTAATTCTGTGCGAAAATTTTTCAATTCGCTTAAAAACATTTTTGATATATGCCGAAAGAAGCAAAAAATAAAATAAACATTAAGGGGTTAGCATTTTGGATCGTTCTCCAGACCAAACTATTGGGACCATATTTCCCAGATTACGGCTACCCATATATTTTGGGAGTCAGAAAGCGGAATCCGTCTGAAAAAGGTTATGTTTATTCAGAAAAAGTACGTTTTTGTGTCTCATTTCTTAGTTTAAAACATCGCCTGCACTAATTGATTAGCATATTTGAGTTCACCCCCTCAAACCATTATGATTGAGTCCTAGAAAGTATAGATCAGACGATTAGGATCAAAAGTTATTCAGGGTGATCCATTATTGGGCACTGTACGTAAATGATGAAACTCTAAAAATGCAAATCAAATGATGGTATGGTTCCAGACTGACGTCTGATATTTTTATACTAAGTCTGATATTTTGACTTTTTAGTCAAAATATCTAACTTCACAAAGTGATAGACGAATATTTGAAATGTTACTCTCCATTTCTTACTTTGTAATTTAATTGGACTCAGCGACAACCATATCCGTGAATAGCAAATGATATATTAATTTAAGAAAGAAATACTATCTTTAAATTCTTATATCGCATTGTTTTTCAGTCCGTGAATTTGGCTTGATCATGTTGCAAAGTATACCAAGTCATATTGATGTTTCTGGCCTGACAAGAAGACTTCTAATAGAGGTAACAGTTTTTTTTTTTTTTTTTTAAATCACATGTTTTTCTTACCCACACACTGAAGGGCAAGAATCCGAATCATTAGAGAAAAAAGTGATCTTTCACCCCCTCTCTAGTGAGTGGTTGGGGACACACACTGAAGGTCAAGAATTCGAATCCCTAGAGAATAATGTGATCTTTCACCCTCTCTCCAGTGAGTGGTTATGGACACACACTGAAGGTCAAGAATTCGAATCCCTAGAGAAAAATGTGATCCTTCACCCCCTCTCCAGTGAGTGGTTGGGGAACACACTGAAGGTCAAGAATCCGAATCCTTAGATAAAAGGGTGATCTTTCGCCTTTTCTTCGCCACACTGAAGGTCAAGAATCCGAATCCTTAGAGAAAAAGGTGATCTTTCGCCCCCTCCTCAGTGGGTATGGGGTGTTCGAGTTGAGCATTACTGAATAGCTTTTAAAAATATTAAATGTGACTATTTTAACTTTACATATATTTCTCGAGATATTAGACAGTTTTCAAAGTTTTTTTACACCGTTTATAATTCAACTTTAACGAAATCACTGTCCGAATTCATACTTAATAACAGTCACCGTTAATTTGCCCCTGAATATGATTCAATGTTAAAACCATTTTTATGATATTGCACTAAATATTATTTGTATTAATTAATCAAATGTGGATGTGACTCTTAAACCATTAAGATTGCGTGAAAACCCCAATAATTGAATAGAAAATTATCATAAATTAGTGATTTTTTTCAGAAAATTACTTTGTGAAATCGCATGAAAAACAATAGAAAATGACCATCAATCTGAAATACTTCAAAAACATTAAAAGGTTCGTGTAACTTATGAAAAGTCTTTAAATAAATCAAAGTTGTAATAAGAGCAGAAAAAATACATGTTTCGTAAGAAAAAGAAGTAAATTCCCTCTTCTTCCTTTTTAAACACTCTTCAAACTTTAAAATGTTAACTTGTTAAGCTGCATGTTCACAAACTTAAAATTAATATCATATTTTTGTTCCTTGATTTACTGAATGTTCATCATCTTCATGATTGACGAACTTGTGAAGATACATACTTACAAATTTAAATTGAATATCATATTTTAGTTTCCTGATACACTGAATGTCCATCATCTTCGTGTGTGATAAACTTGTTAAGACACATATTATCAAATTTAATCATATTTTAGCTCCCTGATATACTGAATGTTCATCATCTTCATGGGTAACGAACTTGTGAAGACACATACTTACAATTTTAAATTGAATATCATATTTTAGTTCTCTGATATACTGAATGTCCATCAACTTTGTGTGTGATAAACTTGTTAAGACACATATTATCAAATTTATTCATATTTTAGTTCTCTGATACACAGAATGTCCATCATCTTCGTCGGTGATGAACTTGTTAAGACACATATTAACAAATTTAAATTGATCTTATCTAGTTCCCTGATATACTAAATGTCCATCATCTTCGTCGGTGATGAACTTGTTAAGACACATATTAACAAATTTAATCATATTTTAGCTCCCTGATATACTGAATGTCCATCATCTTCATGGGTGACGAACTTGTGAAGACACATATGCATACAAATTTAAATTGAATATCATATTTTAGTTCCCTGATACACTGAATGTTCATCATCTTCGTGTGTGATAAACTTGTTAAGACACATATTACCAAATTTAATCATATTTTAGTTCCCTGATATACTGAATGTTCATCATCTTCATGGGTGACGAAGTTGTGAAGACACATACTTACAAATTTAAATTGAATATCATATTTTAGTTGCCTGATACACTGAATGCCCATCATCTTCGTGTGTGATAAACTTGTTAAGACACATATTATCAAATTTAATCATATTTTAGTTCCCTGATATACTGAATGTTCATCATCTTCATGGGTGACGAA